TTTCCTCATGGGCAGGCAGAAGAGATCCCCAAACTCATAAAACCAGTGCTGCAACAGCAGCTGGTAGGGAGCAATGTGCCCGGCAGCAATACAACCAAATACACACGCAGGGAAAAGAGCAGGACAGATGGACAAGAGGGATCCCAGTCAAGAAGCTTGTTTTGAAGCAGCAGTGACAGTTCCAGCTCTGGAACCTCCCAGCATGTGACCTTCAGCCACCACTGACTCCCTCCTTCCTGCTGCCACAGCCTGCCTGCGTGCCTGGCAGCCCGTGCTTTCTGCCAGCATCCTCCTCCTCCCACACCCCTGGTTTTACCCCCCTGCACCCGGGCCAGCAAGGTCAGAGCGGGGGATCTGCTGCTGCGTGCAGCCAGTGAAGAGCAAGGCAAGAGCAACGCCACAAAGCATGCAGCAAGTGCCTTCCCAAGCTCTGCTTGGCCTGCTCCTGTCCAGCTGGGGAAACCCAGCCAGTGGAGCTGATTAATGAAATGCCAGTAGAGGAAGGCATTGCCATCCATCAGGAAAAGCTTTTTTTACCAGCAGGCCAGCACAGCACTGGAGCAGGTGGTGGGATCTCTGTCTGTGGTGGTTCTTGGGGCTCAGCTGTGCAAATCCAGTGATGTGACCTAGTGCCAGGACAGCCCTGCTTACAGGGACTAGGCTACAGACCTCCAGCACCTCTTCCCACCAACACTCCTGCTGCCTCCTGGACAGGAGGCACTGTGGACCCTCCTTTTTTCTTTAACTTCCCATGCTTAGGATACTTGCTGGGGTAAAGGATTCCTACTGATGCAGACTGGGGCAAAGGGCCAACTTGTTCTATTTATTCCTGCAGAAGGCCAGGAGCTAGAGACAATCCTGCTACCCAGGGGACCACAGCACTTCTCCTCCGGGCCTCAGTCTCACTGCAGCACAACAGCTCCTTCTCCTCATCTTCCCCTCTTGGCTCACCTGGCACTTCTCCAGACCCTCCCACTGCTCCTGCTCCCAGTTTATCAGCTCAGGGTCAACAGTGGCACTGCTGGGCTGCAGCTGCTGACATGCAGAGCTGCTCATTAAAGCTCTTAAATTCATTCCTGTAGCCAATGTGAAAAAAGACACTTACTTGCAAACATGGTGGTATTTATCTTCCACAGATTTTAAGGCCAAGAAAGAAACGCTGCATTTTCTGACCCTGTGCAAAACAGACAGTGCAAATGCCTGTAGTTCAGATCAGGTACTTGTGTGGGACTCTGTTCCTAGTTGCTGACAGCACAGTAAAAAGAGATTAAGTCTCTACCACTATCCTCCATGGGCAAAACAAGGTAGGTTCCCCAGGTGGCCACCTCCTATTAAAATCACCTGTCTCCTTTGCATTTGCCCAGCTGTAACATCCATTACCAGGCTGAGATGCTCCTCCTCTCCCAGATCTCAGAAGCTCTTGGTAGCTAACACATCCTCCTTGCAAAGGCACTTCGTAGGTCAAACCTGTCCAAATCAGCTCCACAGCTTTCACAGAGGCTCTTTTTGTATGGCATTGGTCTCTCTGGTGTGTCTGTACCCTATCTCCCTGCTCCCCTTTCCCTCTGAGTGCCTCAATGTTGCCTTCTGCCTTGCACAACACTGCTGAAGTATTTCTATGTGAACTCTCAAGTCTTCCAACTTCCAAGATTCTTCACTAAAACTGACCCATAAAATTGCTTCTATCCACAACCAGAGGGAGGTGTTACAATGCACACAGAACTTCTGGGCCTAGCAAAGTCATCAGCCCAGTCAGCTGCCTGGATTTGGGTGCAAATCTGGAGAAATTGGTGTAGAGGAACAGTTGCCAGCAACGGCTGGGTGATCACCAGACTTAACACAAAGAAATGTTCCTGTCTAACAGCAAAGGAGGGAATGGATTTTCTTCTAAAAATACACAAACACCAGTCCAGGGGGGAGTTTTGGAGCCAGATCTTCATGAGAAAGCACTTCTAGGCAGTACTAGAGCCCGGGACCCAAATGACTTTACCTTCTCAGCAGCTCCCCCTGACTCCATCAGGCAGGTGGGACTTGCAGACATCCTCCTCAGGAACTCTCCACATCCTCCCTAGCAGGGATGGACAGCCTGGGGGAGCAAGACCCACTGATGGGACTTTGGCCTTTTGTGGATTCAGCCCCTACAAAAGCGTCTGTATCTCTGGGTGTTATGTGCAATGCAGTGTGTGCACGAAGATCCAGATTTCATACCCAAGTCCCTGGAATGTGCAGTGCAGGGCTTCAGCCCCTTCCTCTGGATACAGCCAGGCACGAGGCAGTGCAGCCAGGAGCAGCACGCCTGGCCCGGACAGACATTACAGCACATGACATCACTGGAGTCAGTGGCTGACCCCCGTTGCTACTGGAGTCTCTTCTCTTTCCATTACACACTCCTGTCCCCAGAAGTCTTAATTTTCCTTCCTGCACCGCCCCAAGGGTGCAGCAGTGCAGGGCTGCCTCCCTCCCGGCATGCGGAGGGGATCTGCTGGAGCCTGCAAGGCAGGAGCTGCCAGCTGCCCGTCTTCACTGTGCCCTGATAAGGCTTCTCCAACAGATTCCCAGTGTGGGGAGAGGACTGCACGCAGCACAGGGAACAGATAGCACGACTTCTCTCAACAAGCTTTTCATCTGTGACAGCATTTTTACCCCTCAGATCTGCTTTCAATCCTTGCTCTGCCTCGGCTCTTGCTTTGCTCTGTCTCAGCTCTTGCAAGCCTTGTTATCAGCAGCTTTCAGATATTACAGCACATTAAAGGAAGGTACTGAAAGATGATCCAGCAGTCACATTCTCCAGAAATCTCAGCTTTCAGGTAACAAAAGATTCCCAGAGTATGGAGGCAGCTACAAGCACAAGCCTAATGTGACCACAGCCTTGCACCAGAATGCAGAGGAAGCCACCAAGCTTTGTCCTCAGCTGCTGCATCCCCAGCTCAATGCTCAATGCTGGCATTTCGATGTCAGACTCAACATCATCTCTCTGAGCAGTGATAACTGCAACAGCTGAAATCAAGAACAGGAGAGCAAACCACCAAAGAGAGATGAAAATTTATCCCATCTCTTCCCAGCTATAACAAAAGGTTTGCAGGCATGCCAAGTGATTGGAACAATGCTCAGCAAGAGAAAAGTTTTCTTGACACAGTTAAAGCAGCGGTTATTCCTGCATTTAAGGGCTGAAATTCCATCATAATTTGGACATTGCTGGAAGCCAGACTGTTACCTTGGGATCCCAGCCAGGAAAACTCTATCCCTGCTGATGGGGTTATCAGGATAAACTGGTTCTCAAGCTGAGGCTGCACACTCACATGGTTGCCTCAGCAGGCAGCAGCAACAACACGGGACAGATCTCAGCATCACTCCTGAAAGGACAGGCCCAGGGCTTAAAGAGGCTCTTGCTGCTTTTCTCACCAAAACTTCAGGTGCATTTGTCCTCTCTGAACATTTCTCAGTTTTACAGTCTTTATGCAGATGGGGGATACTAGCAATGCAGTGTTGAAGCAGCAATTCCTTCCCTTGGGTGCACCTAGCATATATTTAATGATTCTGAAAGATGCCAAAAATCATCCCTTGGGTCCTCTGTATCCAACAATCCAGATACAAGCCCAAAGTGCGACAGTTGCATTTAGAGGCTCCTCCCTGACCTAATTCACATGGGGAAGCATGGGGGAAAAGTTAATTTTCAGCCATGAAGGTATTTGTTTAGTGGCTATTCAACACAAAATGATAAAGTCAGTTTCCCCCCTCCACTCCAAACAGGGTTATAGTAAATAAACAGATAAGCCCTAAAAAGCAGAAGATAACAAAGTCTGTAACAAAGAGCAGGACTCCTGAGACACCAAGAGACTGAACCATTACAGGAATCACTCAAGTGCAACCTTGAAGGGCTTCAGCCAGAACCTTCACAACTGATAAAAAAGCAGCATTATCATGGGCTTCGTGGGAAAGAGCAGATCTGTGAAGGGATGTTTGAGGGAAACTGCAGGAGCGTGCAAAGTATATAGTGCAATGTTTCAAGGAAGATTATGGGAGCAAAATTTACTATGGGATGTTGAGGGGAAGGAACGAAGGAGGAGAAAGGGAGGCATCAAGCTAAATCAAGAATTGAGCATGGGAAATGGAGAGAGGAATAAATAGGAGGCAGTCAGATGGAGATTGGCTGCTGGTCGCTGTGCCTGTGTGGCTGAGCCCTGCTCCAAATTACCACCATCTGTCCTGGCCTGGCATTAAGCTAATCCCAGCCCTTTTCCCTGCACGCGTGCACGCTGCTGGTCTGTTAGTTACTGCAAGCTGGGCTAGCCTGCAAGCAGGACAGGAGGCCTGAGAAGCAGGCAGCAGACAGATCTCAAGCCTGAGGACCAGCTGCCAGTGACCCACCAAAGTGTGGGCAGACAATCCACCAGCACAGCCCAGGTTTGATGGGCCAGGGAGCAAGAACAGGATGAGGCCTTTTTTGTTGCTCATGTTTTTTAAGTGCCGTTTTGTGTTTCCCTGGGCACCCATCACAGCAGGTTCCCTCAGTTTCTGCTGATCACTGTTGGCTTCAATGCAGTGGAAAGCTGCAGCCTGACGTGTAGCAGAGCAGGACATTTAAATAGAAACAGCCCAGACCACTGCTCACTGTGTCTTAAGGAGAAGCAGCTACATCTGGGTGAACACAAAGGCAAAAAGAACTTCACTGTACAGCTCCACAAACCAAAAGCAATCCCTGCTCAAGCCTGGGAGGTCAAGAACTGAGACACTGCTAGGGACTAGAAAAATGGTGAAATGGGGACAGTCACAAGAGTGAACTAAGTGACAACAGGGAACTAGGGAACCACTGGGCTAGAGCCTTGGCCAGACAAAGACTCAGCTGACAGCTCCACACAATACAGCCTTCATGCAGGCAGCACGGATTTCAGCTCCCACTGCTTCCTCAAAAACATCCCTGTTATAGGGAATAAGGACAGACACCAGAAATGCCAGAGCATCACCTGGGAGAAAGAGGGGTTTCTGCTGCAAAGGAATAAGGGGACACAGCAAAATTCTGTATTTGGTGTTCCAAGGAAAAAGAACAAGACTTGAGCAACAGTATAAAACTTTTAATAGATCACTGCATCAGTCCTTGATGCAAAAGGGAAAGGAGCAAAGGGGGCTATCATTGTCCCAGGTGCTCAGAGCTGCAGAGATGATCTGCACAGAGCAGCAAAGTGGGGGTACACACAGAGCTGCAGCAGCCTTTGCTCTCCAAGGAAGGGAGCAGCACAAGGAAAAGCAGTTCCTCTCACTGTCCATTCGTTTTCACTCTATGCTTCTTCTTCCTGGCAGGGACTTTAGGCCGCATCATTTTGGGAAAAGGCCGGACAGCCTTCAAGGGTCTCCTCTGTGCTTGCAATGAACCTTTCTTCTTCAAAGCAGGTTGGGGCAGCTTCTGCTCTTTGTGAGCTTTTGATTCCTCAAGTTTCTTCTTTTTTGGCAGAGGCTCCGTGATGGCGGTATCCGGGACAGCGGACGGAGCTGCCGCTTCCACAGCAGGCTCTTCATCTGAAAGGAGAGAAAGGCGCTGTGAGAACCCCGGGGCTTCTGCAGGGGAAGCAGCCAGCTCAGCTGAGCTCCAGCACTACATTACCTTTCTGTGCCTGCGGGAGGGCATTGGAGAACTTCTTGAACTTGGCGATGAAGAACCCATCCATATTGTGCGTGTGGGGGTAGAAACGCCGCGTAGACTTGAGGGACGGGTGGAAGCGACGGTCCTTGAACCTGGAGGAGGAAGTGGGGTGAGAGCGATAGAACGCCTCTGCTCAAACCTGGCCACCCAGGAGCAGACCCATGTGCAGCCTGTAACCCGGCACGCACCTGGTGAAGCCCTCCTTGCCAAAGTCCAGGCCTGTGGCCACCAAACGGACATTGCGTTTCTTCAGGGCATAATCCACAACACACTCGTTCTCCTCCACCTGCCAGAGGCTAAGTGTTAGGATCCAAAACTCACCATCTCCTGAGGAGGAGGTGACCACAGCACATCGTGGTAGAAGGCACTTACCATGATGGAGCAAGTGCAGTAGACAATGTAGCCCCCCGTCTCTGAGGCAGCATTGACCGAATCTATGGCGCTAAGAATCAGCTCCTTCTGCAGGTGGGCACAACGCTGAATGTCCTTCTCATCCTGAGGGAGAAAGAAAGGTTAGGATGCCACAGGCATGGGGAAGCACCCCAGGCCTCTGCTGTGGATGAGAGAATGACAGGAGAGCAAAGCACGTATAATGTACAAGAGTCTGGAGCCTTCTGCAGAAGTAGTCTCAAAAAACTAGCCCTGGTACAACACATAGAATAAGAAAGAAAAGGAAAACTGTATTGTAGGTATCTCTCAAGAACAAAGCTGCCCCCAAAGGCCTTCCTCTCATGACTCATACTTGAGTCTGCACTTGTCACCCACCTTGTTGGTTTTGACAGCAGGATCCTTGGAAATGACGCCTGTTCCACTACAAGGAGCATCAAGCAAGACACGGTCAAACCCTCCGATAACCTACAGGCAGATGTAGATTTGGAATTATGCCCACAGCTGGGGACTCAAAACAAGGCCAAGATTAGAAAGGAAACCAGAAGGCTGGGAAGGCAGGAAACACTCCTCCTCCCCGTCCATGTTCCTGCCTCTGTATCAAACAACAAACACACTCCCCAGCAGCTCTGCTCATCCTCCCGTGACAGGTGACTGGAGAGTCACTGAAGGGACAGCACAGCAGCTCTGGGCTAGCACTGCAAACAGGAACGTACCTTGGGGAACTGGCGTCCATCGCAGTTACTCACAACAGCATTGATGACTCCCAGGCGGTGCAAATTCCCTACCACACTACGTAGCCGCTCGGCACTGCTGTCATTAGCCAGGATCATCCCTGTGTTCTTCATAAGCTGAGCTGCCAGAGGGCAAAACACACCAGCAAGGGGCTGAAAACCTCATGCACCTTTGTCTCCAGTGAAAACCACCCCCTCCTTTCCTCAAGTTCAGTCCCCCTCTATTCCCACTTTCTGTGTGGACTAGTGGAAACTCCTCGCTTGACAGAGCAGCCCTCCTGAGGCTCTAGGGTGGTACCTATGTAGCTGGTCTTGCCTCCTGGGGCACAGCACATATCCAGGATGCGCTCATTCTCCTGTGGAGCCAGGGCCATGACAGGGAGAAGACTGGAGGCTCCTTGCAGCATGTAGTGTCCAGCCAGATACTCTGGGGTGGCACCTGGGCAGGGAAGGCAGAACAGAAGAAGATAACACATGAAAGAAAGGGAAGCAGGAGCGGGTGAGCTCAGCCCTGTACGGCAAAGGTGATCTCACCGATGGGCACAGTGGAGTCATAAATCACAAGTCCCGTTTTCGACCACTTCCCCAAGGGGTCAAGATTCACGCCCCGGTTGATGAGAGCCTACAAGGCAAGGAGAAGGGACTGAGCTGCTCTGTGGGTCAGGCAGCTCAGGACACAGCCACCGGCTCCTGCTGACCTGTGCCAGGTCCCGCCGCCGCGTCTTCAGCGTGTTGGTGCGAATGGTGACAGGGCGCGGGACCTCGTTAGCCTCCAGGAAGTTTATCAGCTGGATGCAAGGAGGGGCAGAGAACAGAGACAGGAATGAATTCTCAGGGAGGCAGCCGAGCCCCGTGGATCAGCACAGCTATGGGCAGGATCCCACCTCAGGGAGCGGGAAGATGTCCATGAGCTTGGTGAGCAGGAAGTCACTGTAGGAGTAGTAGGCGGCCATGTCCCGGCGCAGCAGCGCGAGGTATTCCTGCCGGGAGCGGCCCTCCTCCCGCCTCACCCCAAAGTCCTGCAGCACCTCCATGTTGCCCTGGATGCGCTGGTGAATGACGTGCAGGTCAGGCGGCTCAGCAGGTGGGAACACTGTCAAGGAATCACCAACAGCCAAGGAACTCGCCCAGGGGCTCTTCACAAGTACAATCAGCCGCGCTGGACTCACGCGCCACAGCACTGCCTGCGCCAGAAAGGCTCTGCTGGAATACTGCTTCCATCAAAGCTCAGCAGATGCAGGATTCAAAGGAAGAAACTGGACAAAAAAGTTCACAACGCAGAACTAGAGGGTGTTTAAAAGAATTAGTTTAGATGAAAAGAAAAAAACAGGGAAAAAAACCCCAAAAAACTAACAAAAGTAGCGTTTTAATAGTGAAAGCATTACCTGCAGAAGAAAAAGAGACCAGAAATTCCCCAAGGGCAACCAAGCAGTATAAAGGAGAGTAAGAAGGAAGGCAGGAAATTAAAATCAGCAAGTCCAGCAGCAAGAACTTTGGATGCTAGAATTGCTGTCATCGGAAACTCTGGGAATAGGTTACACAAACACCCACCAGGAAAATCAAGGTAGAGAGGAACAAACCACATAATAAATCATCTATATGTATTTAGGACTAGAAAGGAAATTAGGGCAGGTTCCAAGCCCCATACAGGGTGTCACAGATTTCCTAACTGTGCTATAGAGAAGCACAGCATTATACACTATCTATTAGGACAGCTCAGCTAAAAATACCTTGTCACGCAGAGACACTTTTGCTAAGTAATGTGCATGATAAAAGTCCAAGGGAAGCTCTCTGTTTATATCCAGGCCCCGTGCTGCATCATGCACACGGCTTATGGATGCCACAGATAAAAAGGATATCCTCCTTCTCAATCTCTTCACTAGTTGGCAGTTTAAATTGTTCATCTATATCCAGGTTGAGCTGCAGATCAGGGCCCTCTTCTTCCTTCTGTCCCATTTTCTGCTTGTTTGCCTCTTCTGTTTCTTCTTCCTCCTCCTCTTCACTGTCATCTTCACTGAGGCCTTCCCTAACAACAAAGAACAGGATCACACAGATGCTTCTCAACTACCATTTCTCAGATGGCACAAAATCAGAAGAATAACAACACAGGCTCCTCTCTCCTCGGGAAAGGCTCTACACACTCACCTGTCAGGCTTCTGCTTCAGGGCAGCTTTTTCAATAGGCAGCAGCTAAATAGAGACAAAAGATTAATCAAAAAACATCCACAGTCACCCCCTTACTTCCCACATCTGTGAAATTTACTTGCTCTGTTTAAAAGGGTCAACAAACAAAAGCACTGAACGTTATGCTGGAATCAGCTGTTACTGTTAAACTTTAAATCACTCTTGTGAAGGAAAAAGGGGAAAGTTCTCCACCACCTCACCACCCACTGCCACTAAAGCCATCCTTCCCCCCCAGGCCTGAGGGGTCCTTTCAGCCACCAACATCAAGTATTCCTTGTGTAATTGAGGGCAAGAAGTTCCTACCTCTTCTTCCTCTGATGATGAGGCACCATAATCATCCACCATCTCCTCACTGCTCCCATCCTCCTCCTCCTCCATCTCCCAGCTACTCTCTTCCACCTCACCATCACTGGATAATTCCACATGATTTCCTTTAGGCTGGGTTTTCTTGACTTTGGCTGGAGCCAGCCACTTGGAATTGCCATCACTGAAGCCAGAACGGCCACGGGCAATTTGTCCTGCTGCCTTTACAGCACGTTTATCCTTCTGTGGGGACAGCTGCTCTTCAACTAGAGGCAGAAGAAACAGTCAAAAGTTAGGCATTATTTCCAAAATCAGCTGCTCTGCTTTTTCAGTTGTTACACACAAAGGCCTTAGTCCGAGTCCTGAGCTGCCTGTCCAGAGGGAGGGACTTGCTCTCTACATCTCATAAAGTACTGGGCATGTTCCCACCTCTCCCCCACCGGACCTTTCAGGAGATCTAACTATAATTACCAAATAAAAACACTGCCACAAAATTCTTATGGTTATTTGCTCTGACATATTACAGTATCCTCTGTCCCGAATCTTTGTCTATCCTTCCTTCTTTCTACTTTAAAAGTTTCCTGAGCTACACAAGATGTAACACACAGACTTAAAAGCCTCAGCTATAAAATCAGCCTGCAACAACCTTTCTGTGAATAGAGAATGAGTAAAAAATGGACTTAACACACAGAAGAGAGACCTTTGACTAGTTCGTCAGACAACGCTGCCTCCTGGCATGGCAGTCACCAGAAATCAGATAAAACTCATTATTATCTATTACAGAGAGCCCAAAAGAAGGCCAAGATGATGAAGGGTCTGGAGGTCAAGCTGTTTGAGGAGCAGCTGAGGTCACTTGGTCTGTTCAGCCTGGAGGAGACTAAGGAGAGACCTCATGGCAGTCTGCAACTTTCTCATGAGGAAGAGGAGGGGCAGGCATTGATCTTTGTGGTGACCCACGACAGGACTTGAGAGACAGGACTTGAGGGTACGGCAATCAAAGTTGTGTCAGGGGAAGGGGGTAGGTTTAGGTTGGATATCAGAAAGATTCTTCACCCAGAGGGCACTGGAACAAGTTCCCAAGGAAGTGATCACAGCACCAAGTCCATCTGAGCTCAAGAAGGGTTTAGACAACACTTTCAGGAACGTGGTGTGACTCTTGGGGTGGTCCTGGTGCAGGGCCAGGAGCTGATTTAACTATCTTTGTGAGTCCCTTCCAACTCAGGAAACTCTAGGATTCTGTGATTTAGAACAATGAAATTCCACGCATCCCTTGCCTTGAAAAGGACGCCAGAGAAGTTCGGCGGCGGCAGCGCCCGGGGGGAAGCAGGACTGAGGCCCGCCAGCCCGGTTCGGACCCGCTCCCACTCACCCGTCGGCTCCCGCTCTCCTCCTCCTCCTCCTCGCGGCCTGCTCCCCGCCGCGCCGCCGCCCGCTGCCAGCCGCCGCTTCGCAGCCCTGCACCGGGAGGGGAAGCGCCATCAGCCCCGGCCCGGCCCGCACACCGCGGCCACCGAACCGCCCCCTCACCTCTTTCTGCCGTGACTGGAGAGCTTCTTCCTGCCGGTCTCCGGCTCTGCGGGAAGACACGCGGCGGTCAGGCGGCCGCAGGCGCCGCGGGGCGGCCGCGGGCCGGTCCAGGCCGCACTTACCTGGCGGCAGGAAGCGGGCCAGCTCCACCTCGGCCCCGCGCTGCTTGCGGGCCTTGCGCCCGGGGCCGCGCTTCTCCTTCCTGGTGGGGTCGAGCTTCCGCCCCATGGCCGCGCCGCGGGACCCCGCCGCGGGACCCCGCCGCACGTGCCGCGCTCCCGCCGCCCCGGCGCACGCGCCGCCGCGGGCCCGCCCCCGCGCCGCCCACCCTGGCCCCTGATTGGCCCTGCCGGCAGCGTCAGCGGCGCGCGCCGCCCGCCCCCGGGCGCGCGGGGCCGCCCCGGCGCGGGAACGGCGGCGCCGGGAGCGTCGGGCCGGGCCCGGCAGCGAGGGAGCGGCGCTCCTGCCGCGGGCACCCACGGAGGGGGAAACAGCCCCAGGAGGCAGCAGAGAAAGGCGTGCTGCAGCCGCAGCGGGGAAAGGAGCCACGGCATCAGACTGGTAAGGTAGGGGCGCAGAGGATTAAGCATCTAGCCCAACACTCATGCCAGGCACAGGGACACCACTCCTGAGACCAGGTTCCTCAATGCCTTATGGAGCCTGGCCTTAAACACTGCCAGGGCTGGGGCATCTACTGCCCCTCTCAGAGATGTAGGGTACCCCAAAAAGCTGCTCTGATATAGCAAAAAGGCATGGGAACCCTCTTCTTTCAGTCCTGAGACCACATACTTACCCCAGTACACTCATGATACTAGAGACAACAAAATAAAATACAAGGAAATTTTATTTTTCAGTTTTATCAACGTTTTGCTCTGTTTTTTGTTGGTTTTTCATTGTTTGCTTTTGTCTTCAAGCTGCTTTATTAATTGACAAGTCCGGTCAGTTTTTTTATTAAAAAGGATTTTGATGGAGGTAGCTTTGTCTCTGTCCTGGCTTTTGCTTGGTCTTGCCTGCGCACTTGTCTCAGTAAACAAACTCAAAATAAAATTAAGAACAAAACTGGAATTCCAGGCGGAGGCAACGAGCAATGCAGCCAGGTTCTCCATGTAACAGACATGGCGCTGGGGCCTCCAGTCACTATATACAGAGTCCATCATACATCCATCCCCCTCTCTCCTAAACACACTCCTTGCTCCAACGGGCTGGCTGCAGAGGAAGGAGTTTCTTCTCCTTCCAGAGACCTGAGCAGCAGCTTCCATGGAGGGAAACAGCACCCAGTCAGGAATGTCAGGCAGAGGGGTAGAGTGTGAAGGGGTGGGCTAGGGGAGTCACTTCAGCTTGGCCGAAAGGTCAACAGCACTGGGCCAGGAACTCACTGCTGCTGGGCCACCTGTAGGGTGAGAGAGGAGGACCTGAGACTCACGGGCTGGTCACCAGAGCCCAGCCAGGCCCACGGAGGGCCCCTCCCCCCGGAATTCCCTTACTGACCAGAGCGGGTACGTACTTGTTGGGGAGGGGGCGGTGGCGGGGGCTCGCTGCTGCGGTTGGCCAGGCGGCTGAGGATGTTGCGCTCTGACATCTGAAGGCGCACTGCCACAGGGGGGATGCGGGCGATTGTGGCGGGCAGACGAGTCACATCTGCCTTCATGTCACTCAACAGCTCCTCCAGCTGCTTCAGAACTACAAGAGAAAGGGACATCTGTTCGGACGGGAAAGGGACACCCCAGAGGGGACAGCGCTGCTGAACACCTATCCTGCCCCTGTTTAACACACCGCATTACCTTTGTGCAGCACAGCATTGGCTGGTTTATTCCCAGCCATTGATTCCTTGGACAGGTGCTGGTGGCTCTCAGCCAGGCATTCCACCTCTGCAAAACGTGTGTTCAGAGCCATGGATGGGTGAGATGGGTCTTCGGACATGTTCAGATAGGCAGCTCGCCGCAACTGTTCCTCGATCACCAGCGCTTGTTCCAGGAGCTGCAAGGTGGGGCAGGAATGAGTCTTTCAGCAGCTGACTGAGAGGAAGCCTTGTCTGTACCCCCAGTCTCTCCTGAGCCAATTCCCCACCATCTCATAAGGTAAGATTGTGTAGCTGAATCTCCTTTCACCAGCCGGTTTTACTGAATAGCCCAAAACAATAAGGGTTTCATGAAGCAAAGTCAGATACACAAAAAAACCAGGGTACATTTGGTTTAACAGACTACAACTCCTCTAGTATTTTCATTCCTCCTCTGATTCTTTTTACACATTCTTTATGAGGCAAATGGGACAGTGATTACTCTTTGAACCCAAGGGAAAAGTATTCCATCCTATTTATAGAAAGACTCTAAAATCTTGTAAGCATTTGGAGAAATCAGCTGGAATCCTGTCAGTGCTGAACTTGCCATTCAATCTACAGTTGATCAGTGTTTTGCCCCAAAACATTGATCTGGTTGCAGCAGACCAAGCAGAAGCTGTGATGAAAACAGCTGCTTGAACCTTAAGCCTCTTGCTTACCAGTTGTTCAACAAACATTTGGATGGAGAGCACTCCCCAATACCATTTCCAGAAAAAAGGAAGCTCCTATCATGGAGCAACTGCATGATCCCGAGATATATTGCTTTTTTTATTACCCCTAAAACAAAAAGGCATTGCATACATTTTTCACTTTCTTGGTGAAAACTCAGAATTGCAAGAACCTGTTCTTAGAGATCCAGGCAGTTATCGCACTAAAGAGAAATCCTTACCTTAAATCTCCTTGCCAAAAACTTATTCTTTATTTCCAGGAAGTTACCCCTGTTCATCTCACCCTTGAAGGGTTCATTGAGGATGGCGTAACGTGGATCATTCTGAATATCCTGCCAACGGGCATAGCCATGACTGAGATGGGATGAGCTCAGGCAAACAAACGCAGTGAAAACAAGGGAATACACAGCCCAGGCAGTACTGTTTTCCAGAGGGGGTGGGGAAAGGGGGTACAGAGAGGGGACAAACAGGAGCCAAGGGGAATGAGAACTATGTTCTGCTTAGTCTTAGCTATGCTGCAGGAAACTCCCCTTCCCACCATCACTTTCACTATTGTGAAGATAAAACAGTCTTTCACTTAACCTATGCCAGTCAGATCCAGAGTGGTCACTTTCACCGTGACAAATTATGTGCAAGCTGGGAGAATGTGTCTCTCATGGCAAGGATACTTGATAATCCCAGCTAGGAGCCAGTAGTCATGACGCCGATGCCAGATCTCATAGGTCTTCTTGGTGACAGTGGCAGCCCGCTCTTCATTCTGCCAGAGGGAGTGTAGTTCTGCAAAGGCGAGAGACACCAGAACAGTTGGAAGTTACTTCACAAACATAAGCAGGCACTTATAAACAAGTTCAAGCAGATAAAGATCACATACCAGTGAAACCACCATCTGCTATGTTGAACATGAAGCGCTGCTTTACTGCCTTCTTGTGCCTTTCATCTACTGAGTCTTTCAGCATCTCTCCATTCTGTAGCATCACCACATCTCTCTTATCATCGTCCTTTTTCTCATCTGTACACACAGGAAATTATTAAAACAAACATGGCAGATAGTGCAACAACTTGAATCCACAATGAATCCTTGCAGAAGAAGGGTTAAGGAAGAGAAGGGAGTCATCATGCCTCACCTTTCTCATCCAGAGTGATTATAGGAGGGTCAGGGGGATTTTCAGTGGCTGCTCTGTCTTCCACTTTTTCCGCATCAGCTGCGGGAAAGAAGGGGAACATGAGATGCACAGGAATGTAGCAAGTCCAGAGTTTTGTTCTTCGACCAGTGAAACCCAATACTATTCTGCAAGTTCCCAGTGATTTTCTACATTCAAGCCTATTTCTTTACGATCACGTGCTTTGTACCTTTGCTTTCTACTTCCATTGGTTCATCTGGTCTTTCTTTCACTTCTGTTTCCTCTACTTTTTTTTCATCTGCTTCAGTGGAGTTCACTGGGGATTTTGCTTCCTGGGGCGGTGTCTCCACAGGCTGAGCACACTGCTGAGGACAGAGAGCAGTGAGACACAAAGCATAGCAGTACACGACAACAGAACAGTCACAGTAGTTTAAAAAGTAAAGACACACAAAACTGTGAGGCCAATTCTGAGGACCAGACGATTATCTTCAATTATCACTCTAAAAACTCATCTCTGCCTCAGCTGAAATGAAGAGAGGGCAGTAGAGAAATTCACAAGAGAAATTACAAGGCAAAAAAGCCAAAACTCACCTCCATAGGGGCCTCTGTTTCAGTAGCAGAGGCACTGAGCTCCTTCTCTGGTTCAGAAGGCTCTCCTTGCTCCTTAGTACTTGCTCCTTCTTCTACTTTTACTCCATCTTCTGTGTATTCCCCATGCCAGAGCAGCACAGCAGACAAAAGAGAAGCAAATCAGTAAGGTCTTCCCTGTTACCAAGACCACTTCTTTGCTCGCAGAGATCAGGCTCATCAAAATGGAACTAACATGACCCTCCCCTTTCCTACCCACTACAAATGCTGGGCTTCTCACTGATGCCAGTTCTTTCCAGGAAAGCCAGTGTCCTCTCTTGCCTTTAAGGGCTTGCAAATGTCTTTGGCAGCCCTCCTAACATGAGAGTAAGTTGATCTGCGTCCACCCCCAGACCCCATCACCACAGCTCCGGTGAGGGGAGCAGCCAGGCTAAGGTCAGGACGCAGGACTCTGCAAGAGGGGAGCCCTCACCAGGCGCAGGAACAGGAGCCGGTGTATTCGGCTGAGTATCCCCTGGTGTCGAAGGAGTTGGAGTTTTGGGAGAGGGTGAGCTGGGCTGTGAAAGTTTCTTGTTCTCCTCTATCTCTGCCAGTTCTGGCATACTCCAGCGGCCATTCACATGCTCAAATTCCTGCACCTGCACAAGAGGGAGAGAAAGATGTACCACTGGAGGAGTCATACAAAACTCATTCACACTTGTAGAGGCAGACCACTGAGAACACAACAATAGTAGATGTGAAAGAAGAGGTAACTCCAACTCAAGACCCCAGTGACTACAGTTGTATGTATGGCCAGCAAAGGCCACACTGCTCTGCTGGGACCTACCTTTTTGCGTATAAGGGACATGACCCCAATGCGAGTAAGGACGTGCTGTCGAGAAAGACCTTCCCGTGGGACCCCATCTGCAAAGGTCTCTGCACCATCAGCTCCAGGTTCACATAAATGGCGCATGAACAACGAGACATAGGCCCTGCAATGATTGAGAGACAAGCGATTTGTCCATAAATTGGATTATCTGGAGACATACATTGTCAGACCCCTTCCAGCACATAAGGTTGTAGAGCCATGCTACTCCTG